CCCCCCCCCTTCCCCCCCCCCCCACACCCCTCAGAGGCAGCATTTGCTTCTACCTCCTCGCTCTCTGCCAGACTGACCCGGCTGGGGGCAAAACGGTCTTAATCTTCCCTGCATAAATCATCAACACTTTAAACGGAGCTTTTCAGTTTGCAGGCCTTCAAGGCAGCTTACATCCTGGAATAAAATTATTTATAATAATAATAATAATAAGGTCCACATTTGACTGAAAGCAAACAATCAAACATTATTCAGCCAGCAGAAATAAGGGAAGATTACAGTAGCAATAGAGATTACGGTATTATTGCTAGCTGGCAGGGTGAAAGAATAAAATAGTTTTGATGTGGAAGGAAGCGAAGCCTCAGCGGCCACTTCTGAGCTTTGGTGCTGCTACAGAGAAACTACACGGTTGCTCAATGAACCTGAAAAAAAGATTTTGGATGATCATCTTAACTTTAGATGTGTGTTTCATTTAAAGGATAACATTTCTTCAAAATATACAATCATAATAAAAAGTTTATATTATCTCAACCCCTGTTAAAATACAGTCTGCCTCCAAAAGTAATGATTGGTTATGCTCTGAACTATTTAGCCTTTGTTTCCAAAGCTCCTCAGTGCAATTTACAAGATCCAACCTGCAGCTGGAAGGTGGGAGGTCAGGTAGCAAAGGAACACCTGTGTCTAGCACCCCCTCCCCAGTGTCCTAGGCTGGTGCTCCCAGAAATGGTCTGTGCCAGGAGGGCTCACCCTAAAAGTGAGGTCAAGGCGGCGGTAGCGAGAAGGCTTCCAGGTCTTCTCCAGGGGTCCTTATCCTGAGCTCACTTGCAGGGCACCCAGCAGGCGCCCCTCTTGCTGGCTACAGCCGGGCGGAGTTCCTGGGAAGACCCTGGACTCACCCCTCCCATGGACGCCTGTCCCTCGCCCAAGGGTTGCAGCTTCCTTCCGACCTCCAGCCTGTCCCGGGGGGGGGGGGCCCGAGGAAAACCCTTCCCCCCCCCTCCCCGCTCAGCTGGGAAGCCTTAGTGAAAGGAGGGCCCAGCCCTGGCCCTCTCCTCTGGCTTCGCTCACAGAGACGCACATTTCATAGGCTGCAGCTTCCCAGCTGGCAGGATCTGCCATTCCTGGAGCATCTCAACTATCATCTATTTTGTTTGCCCATTTTGAACCCACCCCCCCCCTCAAGGGGAAGTGAAAATGCCCCCAAGTTTGCAGAGAGAAACTCTCAGCCAGACAGGCAGCCGCTCTCGATAGATAAAGCTGGTAGTCCCGGATGCTCTCTGAGCTTGGTTGCTTGCTGGCGGGCATTTTGTCACGCGGCTGACAGCATCCTCAGTGCTGCTGTCGAAGGGTTTACCTGGTCAGGTAATGAAAGGTTTGCAAGCGAACAACCAGCTCAGAGAGTATCAAGGACTCCACGGTTCAGTCTTGAGTTGCATATATTATTATCATCTCCTCCTCCTCCTCCTCCTCCTCCTCCTCCTCCTCCTCCCCCCCCCCCCTTT